ATATATATAGTATTATCCATTTTGATCTATCATAATAAATCAGAAACTATATCTTTTTCTCTTTTCATAAAATTACAGGACGGTGTACTCTTTTCATTTCATTTAGTTTCAAATTGATGCTGCTCATTAAATTCTTAAATTCTTCATTTATATTCGAATTCAAATTAGGCAACCAATGGAAATAAGGGGTAAAATTCGACATAAATTTTAGCAACGATAATTTTACCCCATTACTCCCATCGTTTTCCAGAAATATGGGGGTAAAATTTTATACAGATTTTCATATCGAAAATTTTACCCTGACTACTTTCTTTCTATTCAGAATTTTTTCGAATTTTTTTTTGGATGTCATTAGCGTTTAATTCTTTCATTTACTGCTGTAATAAGTGATATAAATAATTCTATTTATTAAAAATGGCTTGGAAAAGTCGGCCGAGCTCAAAGTCAACTTTGACATCAACATTTCGTACGAGGATCCTAATAAAATAACAGATCTCTAATACAACACAGTCCGAAAGCTCTAGAGTAAAAGTCACAAACGAGAAAATAATATACAATATGTGCGAAACTATAGAGCGTAAGAATCAATACAAGCATCATCAGTCATAAACGCCGATATCAAGAAGATCGATGGCATTCCAACGGCAGCTAAAACAAAATTCAATATATTAAAAACGAAGAGAATTTGAAACACTTGCCCCAGACTGACAACAATTTTTGATGAGAAGATTCTATAGTTATTAATTGAATACATTGTTTCAGCGAAGATAAATATTAATGAACTTGTTTCTGTTGTTTCCGGAAAGCAAATTTTTAGTACGCTGCAAAATATTTTATTTCATGCTATATTTAACCAAAAGTTTCGTAGAATGATGTAAACCTATATACTGTACCGATAGGCGCGTGGATGCACGAAATTCTCTCAAATCCTAAAGTTTAGCGATATGATTATCGATTGGATCCATTGAAGTATCCATCACGTTACACCAAAACTACTCAAAATTTTCAACTTCTTCGGGTATATGGAAATTTTTGGGTATGCATCTCGTTGCACCAAGAGTATTCAAAATTTTCAAGCATACAACTGTATGGCGAAAGGCAGAGTAATGGGATGATTAACCATTAACTTATTCTACCAGTTCTCTGCTGACATAAAATGAGAGCTGAGATTTGTTGCATTTGAAACCGTCTGTGAAGTAATAAAGAATATGATAGTCCTTTTGATGCGCTTTTTATCTCTTTTTTTCCTCTCTTTTTTCTCTTTTCTTTTTCTTTCTCTTTTATCTCTTTTCAAATTTATATCCTACTGTACGCGTGTATCAACAATGTTCTTGTATATTGTTAACCTTTATGGAACAATAAATAAATCGAATGTTATAAACAAAAAGAGTAATGGGATGATTGCTCTTCTGAATATCTTGACCTGTCGCTTCTCATTACTCAGCGTATTAGTATTATGACATCTGTGATGTGTACGAAAAGCAGCATAGCTAAACCGACAACAGTCCATCCTATTTGTGGTTTATTTATATCTTTGGCATCAGCAATAAGCCGGAGATTAGATCATGTTGACGAAATATCTCTAGTGTTAATAATCATAACGCATTCACCATTTTTTCAGCTTCTCTTTTATCATATGTCCATCGAGTAAATCAGGATTCATCATTAATGTAATGTATAAAGGGCTATCAACTGATGAATTCTTTAGACGAAATACATTCAAAATATTTTTCGTATAATTTGTTCTTCGAATTATCAACGAAATTTAACCGAATATCCTCCACAAGACTATAATTAAAGTCAATAAGAACACTACACGTCCATGTAATAAAAGTAGAAACGTAAAAATTTTGACCGGTAAAGACCGGTAGATCCGGCGGTCTGAAAACTAGACCGATACTGGACCGGCCGGTCGCCGGTATGGTTCCATCTCTGATTTAATCCCTAACCATTCATTGCATCATCGTTTATTATTTTTGTTCATTGATAGGATTCTGCTTTCCTTGTTCTTTATCCATCTTTGTTTTTTGATGCAAAAAGTAAACCTAATACAATGAAAAAATATCAAGTCATTTCATGCAAAAAATAATTTCATTTTCAATCAACAGAAACTACAGTAGCCATTGTGAAAATGATTTTAGCCTAAATGTATTTAATGAATGGTCTCTTGAAGATAGATGTGTTTGCTATTGGAACAAGTACTTGGTAGCGTTATCCGACTCGACTGATGGTGAACTTCTTATAGAAAAGTCTAAAATCAATGGATTTAGGAAAAGTTGGTCCCAAGGCGAATTTTCTATTTCGGATATTAGAAGATCCAGGAGATTTGTCGCCCATCAATCTATAATAGAAAGAGCTATTAGTTGGCTTGCTTCAGTTCCTTTGAATTCTTCTGTTCCCTTCTTCGAGATGGATGAGGTCCTTATTCTTCAGAATTTCCCCGAAACCTTCTGAAACAAGTGCCATCCCGTTTATCTGTCCTCTGTTGTGTTCCTCGTGTTCTCTTTTCCTTCCTTATTTAATCTTTTTTTTATTTTGTTCTCTCTTACTAATTGTTTATATATTTCTTCTCTTTTCTCTCCCTTCTTTTTTGTTGTGGTCTTCATGTCTGTGCAGCTTCCAGTTCTGTCCATCGTCTCTATTTTTGTTCTCTGTTATTATTCCCACTATCTCTCTCAATCATGAATTAAAGTTTTTTTTCTCTATAAATACCTCTCACTATTCTTTGTGTGATGTACTTTTCATTTTTTCATTTTTGGATAATCTTATTCTCTGTAAAATAGTACTGACAGGATCTCAGGATCACAGTTATTGCAAAGTGAAATAAATAAAAAAAAATGATTTTAGCCTAATTTGATTTTGATATGAATTGTCTAAAATTTAGATATCTTAGTTCTGTCAAAAACGTTATCTCGGAAATTTGAAAATATGGATATACCATGATCTATTTTCATTGCATATTCTGGCTTCAAAGGAATACTCTGTATTTCGTACAGGGTATTCCAAAAAAAAACTTATCCCTACAGTTTTTGATTCTTTGAAAATATATGTGTTCCCAGTGGCGAACTTTTTTTATTTAAAAAGCTATGAATAGTTATATCGTGCATAATAGATAATAGATGTTGCTAGCTTTTGAAATAAAAAACAGTTTATATATAAAATAAATCTTGTTCCAAGGAGGTCAAAAATATTTCGAAGAGTAAGTTTTTTTGGACCACCCTGTATACGTTTTAATCGCGATTTTGAGTACCTTATGTCAAAATGAGATAAATTTGAGAACACTAAAAGTGAGAAAGGACCAAGACGCATAAAACCACAAATCGATCCTCGATCGCTTTTCACCAAACAACCAACTAATAATCATAAGAGTGATATAATTCGATGCAGAATAAAATGGCTAGTTTTCTATTGCTCTTAGATACCTCAGACTGAACATCTATTTCAGTGGCAAACATTACCAAAAAACATCGGTTACATGCAATTGAGAAAATTTCCCTGAATGATAATCTCGATTCTCTTCCAATCATGTTCAACTACATATTGATAATTGAGACAGAAATTAGTACAATAATCTTCCTATTGATTTTGTTTAAGAATGAATATAACATGTGGCAGTGATATCTATTTTCTTTAAAAAATTAATTCAATCAAGTTATCTGATTATTGGTTTTTTTATTCGGAAAAAACAAAAAATTAAAATCAATAAAAAAAAATGAGATTTTCTTATGAAAGTTTTAATTACACCACTTTTATTGATCTTGTTGACGTTTTATATTCCATTTTTCATAAGACTTATGTAATGCACGACGATCTCGATATAGCAATGTATTCTTTTGATGATCAACTATTGTAAACATAGTATTAGGATCGCTAAAAAAAGAAAAAATGATCTGCGATTTGAATAAAAAAAAATTGTATAAGAAAACAACTTTAAATCTAATGTTGATGATATAGGAGACGTTGTATGGTAAGTACTTTGGCATCCTGATGTTGATAAATAACTTGGTTTGTCACTACCACAACACCTATACGCACCATGATTAGCATAACCACCATATAGCTATAGAGAAAAAAACAATTATAAATTATATTTAATCGGATATGTTTATGATAATCACTCCTGAGTGATATACACATAACGTTTCTTCTTCATTTTTGCGTTTATTAAAAAATGAGCCACATCGTTCACATCTTGCCATAAATGGTAAATATTCTTCGATTGAAAAATTTCTTGATAGTGTAGGTTGGCCAGTAAAAAGAAAAATTCTTCTTAAATTCATTTTATGTTCTTCCGTATTAAATAGACGAAAAACATTTTCCATATTTAAATTTTCACATATATAAAATTCAATAAACTTTAATTTCTGACAAGATTTAGCAATATATTCAACACCACGTATGGTTAAAAAATTTCCTTCAAAATTAATTTGTTGAATTGAAGGAAACAATAAAGCAGTTAAACGTAATGATTCATCAGTATGAATATAATTTTTAAAATCAACCTACAAAAAATTAATTTATTAATTAATTTCTTTTGTTTAATCATACCTTTTCTAATAATTTTAATTTTTCTATATTTTCTTTTGATGATACCATTTTTTCTAAAACTTTTTCTAAAGCATTTGGATCTTCTGGTGGTAAAATTTTTAACCATAATTTAGCTTTAATTGCAATATCAGCATTACTTCCTTCAGAAATATCATCTTCCATAGTACCAATGTAAGGTAATTCAACAATTTTAGAATTTTCGTCAATAAATACATTTGAATTCATTATAAATCAATCTAAAATTGACAAAAAAAAAATATAATCATCAAATGAAAAGAGATTATAACGTCGTTAATCGATTCATATGAAATTTTTCATTATAATCCATATTATCTTATTATGGATCAACGCAGTTTTTATGCTGAACACGATTCTAGTCTTACACTTTTTATTTTAACTATCTTGGATGCAACATCTCCAGCGATCCTACGCATTTAAAAGAGATCAAATATCATGTGGTCAAAGTCTCCAATGCATTCAACCAGTTTCAGCATATTGTCGAACATTATCAATCCATATCAATTTGTATCAAAAATCCATATTTTCAGAGATGTGTACTACTTGTACTTTTATACCGTAGTGAATTATGGTTCCTGATAGCTACAGAAGAACAGCATTTCATTACTCTCTGTATGAAACGTCTTAGGACATTAATTGGTATTTCTTTCGGTGATCAAATGAGAAATGATCTTATGCGTCAGTTGACTGGTCAATCATCTTTAGAAATATTTTGAGATGGAACAGATTATGATGCTTTGGTCACATTAACCGAATGTATAATGATCAAGGCGATCCTATGCTGCCGAAAATAGCTTCGGCACCTCATTCAGAGATGCTAAGAGGCCTTCTCATGGTGTTAAAGGGCCCTTAGAAAATCCAATTTTTTCAAAGAAATATGGAAGTTAAATTTTTATCGTAGAAAGATGCAACGAAACTTCCTCTTTCAAAATATATATGGCTTTTTGGAAAATGGTCAGATTTTTAAAGACTAATCTTATGAGACTTTGACTCGACTACTCTATTTTTAGAGAAATTTTTGTGGTTTTTAAAGATTTTCAGTTTTGGAAAAACTACCTTGCCGCTTACATTAGCATTGAATAGAACATTTTTATATCACACAGCATGTCAGATGGCGTTAGCTACCTTCATCTTTTACGTATTTTAACACGATCCAGTGAAATGAATTAAAAATATCCCGTTGTAATATGATTTTTCCCTGGATTTGAATGAAAAAATCCAGTTGTAAAATTTCTTTAGAGTTTTCCTCAAAATACGGTTTTCACACAGGAAAATTGGAATAATCCGTCTTGACTCGGAGTATAATCGATGTATTTTTTTGTTTCAAAGATCTTCATCAAAGCTAACTTTTAATCGGAGGGATTTTGATACTTGAGTCCTTAGCTGAGAGCAGTGGAATTTACTCTCGATCGAGTCATCATTTTAACATTTATTTTGAACACCATGTCCATTAAAATGTTCATAAGAGATGAATGGAAGGCTGTTTCAAAAACCCGTTTGCATAAAAGTTGTGCAAGGAGACGCTTCTATTTGAAACTAGCCCGAGCCCTGTATGCCATCTTACGACGAAGTTATTTCCATTCTCCTGTAAGGTAGAAAAACAAGCCGAAAGTTCAATCTAGTCGAGTATATCAGGCTGAAATTTCTACCATAAGGATTTCTTGCTAGGACTAGTGATTCCTGAAAGTTTCAGCCCAAACGATCCGTTCTAGGTGAGAAATCATTTCTGAGGGATAAGAATAAATGGCGTACAACAATCAATTATGATATCGACAAAAACGCGCGTTACGGAACTGCATTTTTTGCATTGTAGCAATTATATCTCCTCAATAATAAAAGCAATGCTCTAAAATTTTTAACATTGAGACCAGTTAGATCTATTACCAGTAAAAATTGTATTGGTTTTTGTTTAGCTGAAGCTGAGTTATTAAAAAAACTAGTCACCCTTACGGAATTTCACCGAATGGAAATGTTTTTGAGGTGACCTGAGAGTTGAGCATTTTTCTACGATACTGAGCCACATAAAAATAAACGCCTTATAGAAAATTTGTAGTTTTCCGCTAGCTTTCAAAATATCAGATCATATCTTAACAAGCATAACGATATCGAATAAAAAAACTAAAAAATCTGTTCGTTACGGAGTTTCATCTTTTTTGGCGATACACTGGGGAGGGTTTAGGAGGCCAAAAGAATCACATCATGGCAACAAAAATCCGTTTTTTTTCATATCTGTGGAAAGTACAGAGATAGTTTTGATTATTGAAGTAATTCACTTTTACTGTCTTAAGGAAATTAGATTCAAACATCGGTATGGTGTAAAAAGCCCGAAAAAAAAAATCTCGAAAAAGAAAATCTCGAAAAAAAATCTCGAAAAAAAAAATTTCGAGAAAAGAAAAACTCGAAAAATTGAAATTTCGAAAAACCTATATCACGAAAAAACAAATCTCGAAAAACCGAATTCTCGAAAAAAAAAATTTCGAAGAAAAAAATCTCGAATAGTCTGAAACGTAAGATATCAATGTAATAATCAAACATATGTCTGTACGTAATATTTTATTTTAAAAATTCATGATATTGAAGTAACGAAGTAGAAAAATCATAAGTTTGACAAGAAAAGATCATTTTCTTATCCCGACTAATAAAGACAGTCCTTCTAAAAGTTCACGAAGACTTATTTGGTTTTGATCGAATCGCGACCGAAGTAAAGAAATTCGTTGTTGAAGAAGAGCAGTTTTTTTGTTTTTCTTTTTCTTTTCACCCATGATCATCTTCAGCATTTGTTGACGAACAATAACTTCTTCTCGCCTAAGACACTCAAATAAATGCCAGATGTTTGGATGATATTTAGCTATAAGACGATTAAAACGATGATTCCATCCTAAATAAT